ACGGTATGGAGGCCAGCTTTTCTGCAGTGAAGTTTCAGTTTGCTGACAGCTCATCGAAGGGCTTCCTGTCTGCTTATTTTAGCTTATTATAATCTCACTTGAAGACAGTGTAAACACTGATCTCATAGGTAGACTGTTACAGACAATCACAGTTCTCAAATATTCTGAAACAACTCCATTTGTTTTGGATATATTAACTCATAGCAATACAATAAAAGACACACAAATAGAATATACTATATTACTAAATCTAAAAACAAGTAAGCCAAGCACAGATCATGTTAACATCATTTAGAGCTTCTCTGTTGTCTTTTCCAGCGTGCCATTTGCAGTTTCAGCACTACCTGTCAGAGTGTCAGCTCTATCTGGAGGCTGTGCCTGCCATGTTCCGCCTGGAGCTTCTGGAGAATATCTTCTCCCTTTTATTTCTCTCCACCGCTGACTTTACACAGCACACTCAAAAAGACACAAACTCAAATCTGAACACGGCGAATGCCGATCAAGAGTGTTTATCAGATACAACAAACAAAAATGCAGAATTAGGAGTCAGAGGAAAGGCAGATAAGGCTGAGGAAAGCAGGAAAGAGAGCCTAAAGGTGCGTGCAAGTTCACCCACATTAGCCCACCATAGCCACCTGGACCTTGGACACGTCATCCAGGGCTGCAGGGGGTTTGTGGTCGATGTGACAGCCATGGAGGGTTTCCTAAAGCTGCTTAAAGAAGGGTTGGAGGGCATGTGTGTGGTAGGCCAGCAGGAGGGACAGGAAGCGGGAAGAGCACTGCCTCAAGAAGCTAAGGCGGCAGAGAGTCTCGGCTGCTCAGTGACAGCTGAGACGTTCGGCGCTCGTCTGCAAAGGTTGTCCAAACGCACTGCAGAGGCTCAGTGGAGGCTCCAGATCGTCACCAGCAATCAGGGCAGTGGAAGCGGTGAGATGCACAAGCTGATGATTTTTCTATGATTTACTATGTTTTTCAATGTGTAAGACAAAACAGAGACAGAAAATCAACAACAGCTGAAATGGACACATTTGACTGTTCGCACTTTGGGCCTTCATTTATGACATACTGTAGGTGCCTGTGTTTACATGTTTGTATTAGCATTGGGGGTGTTTATCAACTCTGACAGATTTTTGCAAGCATCTGTTGAGTCTTGGGAAATTTACCTGCAGATTCCGAAGGTGCTTTCCAGATGTCGGTGGTCAGCTGTACTACTGCTTCTCTGCATCAAAGCAAGAGCTCAAGTCTGAGGAGGAGGAGGAGGAAACCAGGCAGACATGCTACAGAGAGAAAAACCTCCATAGAGAAACACAATGGAGAAGTTAGCACAAGTGCTTCAGGTAAGGCATAAACACCAGCCTTTATGTTGATGCACTGATTTGTTCAGTTAAAATCACATTGAATCTCTTTTGTTTTGCACCAATTTGCTTTACAGAAGAAACTGGCAACAAACAACTTTGTTATGAAGTGAAAACTGCAGTTGTCACAAACCATATGAACTGTATATTTCATACTTTCATCTTTCTTGCGAAAAGATGTGGATTTGTTTCTAGGAGCTGTGAACAAAATGTTTGGATGAAGTCTGGGCTTCCTCCAAATGACTCCAGTTTGGCCTTTTGTTCTTCAGATGTATATTCTCTGTATTTATGATGCATAATTTTGTCTTGTGTCAGATAGTGGAGGAGGGACAGTGGCAAGCTGTGTGGAACCGGAGGTTTGTCCATGCGGAGGTCCTCACAGCTGGCTGGTCCCCGCCATGCTGTCCCCGCCAGAGTCTCTGCTAATGTCCTGCATCCGCCAGGGAAATTTCATGGAGGCACATCAGGTCTGTATGGCAAACAGAAAACTGCTCATAGTTGGTTTTTACCATTTTTCCATTTTGGAAAGCTTTTGCAGCAAATATTGATTAGGCTGTATTAGCAGAAATTAAGTGTCCGTAGCTCAGTCCTGTGTATATGTTGGCTGCTCTGCAGGTGTCTCTAGTGTTTGATCTGGGGACGTCTGCCTGTTTTGGCGAGTTGGTGTTCATGGAGCGCTACAAAGAGGTTTTGGTGGATTTGGGGCAGGTGGAGCAGAAAATGGAAAGCCACTCCATGTCTTCGTCCTCCTCCTCTTCAGAGGGCTTGGGGTCAACAGCTGGGCCAGGCACAGGGAGGACCCGACTGGGCAGTAGTGGGCGATCAACACTGCAGGCCATCGAAAGTGCAGCTGCTGCAGGTTTGACATTCTGTTATACTTGGTGATTTTTAAGTTTTTTTTTCTTGTACATTTGAGAAACTTGGATATTATCATGATTTTGTGTGTGGCGTCCTGCAGGTGTGGCTTTCTATTCCATCGCAGACATAGCAGACCGTCTCCTCAGCACCCCTGCTCACCCGATGCCCTCGTTGGAGGAGGACTACTGGCTAAACCACTGCTCTTCAGACCCCTCTGGCCTCCTTTACAGACTCCTAGAGGAGCTCAGCCCAGCAGCTATGGCTGCCTTTGACCTGGCGTGCTGTCACTGTCAGCTATGGAAGACATCCCGACAGCTGCTGGACACCGCAGAGCGCAGGCTCCACAGCAGCCTGGAGGCTCGAGGTATTAAGCCTGGGTTATAGGGAGCTTTCCTTAATGAAATTTTAGGAACACTGATGATGTTTATTAAACGATTTATTCTAACGTGCAGATTTGGACAAGGCCAACTACAGGATTATATGTTTATTAGCTGCTTTGCACATAGTTTCTTGGTTTTCATCTTTAATCCATGTCTGCCTTCTCAGGAGTAAGAGTTGACCCCAGGGTTCCTCATTCTGAGGGGATCTGTGGATTTCCCATGATCTTACAGCAGATCAGCAAGATCCTGAATCACTCTGCCACTAATAAGGGCCTGGTCAAAACAGGTGAGTGCAAATATTGAAACATTTTCATTATGGAAATCACATCATAGAAGCTGTTGGCGAGGACCAAGTGTTTGCCAGCCCTTTTGGTTGCTGTCTTCAGGAAGTTCTCCTGTGTTGCCACCCAACCCTGAGTGAGGAGTTCATTGCTTCTCGGCTCAGTTTGGCTCAGAGCTTAGAGACCACCCTGCACATTCTGAGTACTGCTACAAATACCACAGGTCGGCACAGCAGCCACGGCTTTTCAGATGCAATAAATTTAACATTGTCTTTGTTTTGCTAGTCAAATTTCTAGCTTGTTGAAAAAGATAGTTGACCTAATCTTATCAGTTCAAGTGTTTCAAACACTGTAGTACATTTGCCAGGAATTTGTAAGGCTAGTTTGACAAATTTGGTTTAAAGTTAGATACATTAAAATATCAGAAAAAGCTGTTGTTCTCTGAACATTGTGTTCTGTGTGTCTGATGGCACCTCTCACATAACAGAGGGCAGTGTGGGCAGCGCTCTTCTAGCATTGCTGGTCGAACAGGCCAGTCTGAAGCAGTCAGAGCTGGACACTCACCCTGTGCGCTCCAGCATGAAGCAGCTGCTTCGTTCTCTGGATCAGCTCTGCCCCTTTGAGCCAGACCTTGCCAGACCAGATTATGTGCGCAGTTTCCTCGACTATGTGAACACACTAGCATCTGTGCTGGTGCGCAGCCTTGGTTCAGAAGGTAAAATAATTAGGACTGATGTGCGTTTTGCATCCATTTAGAAAAGGTTTGCTGGTTCTTCTACCTTGTACATGTACCAACAGACACTTCTAACAACACACTTAAGTGCATAATGCTGTTTTATTAAAAGTTCTTGCTGCTTTCAGACTTCACCATCTCAGTCATAACTTCTTGACACTCAGTTCCCCACCTACATTATCTCAGCTAGTCTGGTTATCAGATTAGCAGGTACTAGGTAATAAGTTTACTTAATACCAAATTACTTTACAGCTATTCTACCTAAACAGTGATTAGATCAAGGGCTGTCAGTGACTTGTTCTACTTGTTGTTGTTGTTGGTTTTGTTCTAATTTGCCTCTCTTGCTGTTTTTCTTAGACCAGAGTGATGAAGTGAAGCTTGGGAATCCACTGCTGGTGTTGCTTCAACCCCCATTTCAGCTTCTCTCCCACCTGCTCTTTGACAGACAGGTGTCTCCTGACAGGTACACAAAGTGGTTAATCCCGGTCAGTGTGAGCAACTGTGTGTAGCTTGCATGCTGTGTTGTTCCCCACCGTGTCACACGAGGCTACCTGAACTGCTGCTGGGACATGTGCCTCACAGCAATGCTCTCAAAGAAGTGAACGTTTGCATCGTTCTCCTGAAAAGCAGCTCTTTAATGTTTCATAAACGTACACCAACACTGACAATAGAAAGCTGGTGTACAGTAGAAATTGTCTTACACAATACAGTAACAGATTACATAAGTTCATCTAAAATCCATTTGTGTAATGTGTGTTTCAGCTTAGAGACTGTATGTGGTTTAATTGGTAGAGTTTCTTTGTTCTTCTGCACATGCTGTTCAGTAACGCAACTGTATGACAGTTGAGCTAGATAAAACTGAGAAGAGGTAAAAGGGGCCACACATTAGAGGCTTTGCTACATTTGGGAGCAGCAAAAATGGGGAAAGGTTTAGCTTTAATGTTTTGCTGGGATAGATGCCATACAGCAAAGGTGAAAAATAAGTTGAGTGGTGTGAAGGCAGCATTTTATCTTATTGCTTAATATCCTTTCATCTCCAGAGTGCTGTCCTTGCTGCAGCAGGAAGGTCTGCGACTGAGCGTCCAGCAGGTGATTGTCCAGAGATGCTGTGAGACTTTGCCCCTGTGGTCTTCCTCTCCAGCTACTGAAAGGGCCACCAGTCAGGCCAAAAAGAATGGAGAGTTCACTGTTGCCAGTTTGTCCATCCTACTTCAGCGGCATGCTAAGGAGCACATGCCAGCTCTGGGAATCACAGAGCCTCAGTCTGATGGCAGCTCTGAGTCTGAGGCCTCGGAGGACGACCACTCTGCTACACCCACCGCCCTCTCCATCTTGTCACCCTCTTTGTCATCCTCCTCCTCTTTGTCTTCCTCCTCAAACTCTTTTCTCCTCACACCATCTGCCCTGTCTTTCCTGAAGTCTCGCTCTCCTTTACTGGCCACACTGGCATGTCTAAGTGCCTGTAAAGGAGAAACTGTTCGGACACCATCCTCCGGATGGTCTGGATATTTCCGCAGTGGACGTAAAGAGGTTGTTCTAGATGGTGAGCAGATTTCTCGTGAGGCAGATAACCTCCTGAAAGAGTTCCCCATTCTCCATGCCTACCTTCACATCATGGTGGAACCAGTGCTGGGCACCCTGTCAAGAGAGGGCGAGGAAGGCTCTTCTGGACTGGGGGTGGTTGTTTGCGGGAAACCTCTCATGAGTCTGCTCCTGTCTGGGCCTCAGGAAGAAGCTGCCCAGGCTGTGGCTGCTGAGGCCTTCCAGAAGGCCCTTGTCTGACCCGAGCCTTGCGGCTTCTGGAGCTGTATGGGCAAGGCTGCAGCCAGGAGGGGGCACTAAGAGACCAGCTACTTGCCTGTGCTGCCTTAGAAGGTGAGGAATGATGGTAAATGTGACATATGTAATAGTTTTGTTGATACTTCTGTGCTTCTAATAAATACTGATGCAATTACAGAATGATTTTGTAGAAAACTTGTATCTACAGTACACGTGGTTATTAATCATCCAAGGAATTTATGAAGCCAAAATACAAAACATTTGCTATTTTGAGCTTCTCTAATAGATAACTGCTTTTCATAATTGAATATTTTTGGGTCAAAATTAGATAAACCTCTTGGCAAGTTACTGTTTTGTTTTGAAATTTCTTTTGAATATATATATATTTTACTATGACAGTCTCCTAAGATCTAAACAAAGGTCATTTAATTTGGATGCAGCAGTTGTTTCAAAAGTAACTAAAATGTTTCTTGACTATCTTATTGTTTGTTCTCAGATGGAGGTAAGGGTATAGGTCAGTTGTTTCGTGTGCAGGATGCAAACTTGCGAGCTCGTGTTGCTCTCCAGGGTCTGGAGCGATGGCCGCTGTCAGCCTGCCTGGAGCTGCTTGAGTTCTGCCTTAGTGACCCAGCTACAGAGGTCGCACTGAGAACAGATGTAGAGCTCAAGAAGAAAGAGCTGGACATCTATTGCTCGGTATGAACTACAGTTCTTGTTTTGTACCTGGGGAGTGTTTTAATTTGAATTCAGCAAGCAGAACATGATTTTATATGTCTCTTCTAATCATGTCTGATTTTGGCACGATCATACACTACATTCCTCCATGGCACTATCTTTTTAATGTATTGACAAGTTTTTGTGCTTTCTTCCTTGGTCACAGATGTTGAATTTACAGCTTCCGCCAGCCTGGACTACTTGGCAGGAACTGAGAACTGAGTCTAAGACAAACTCTGAGTCCATTTTGTCTATGATGCTGGAGGCAAAAGTAAGCACAGCAGAGCTAGCTACACTTTAGTTCATTAACATTCACACATTGTCTTTAGGATGCCAGACAAAAGCTTTACATTACCACAGCAACCGATTTTAGTTTATTTATGCAGTGTAATACGATGAATCTTTTTTTATTTTTTGCAGGAGTTTGACCTTTGTGCACGGTGGGTGGAGCTGTATCCTATATCTGACCAGATGAGACTGCAGCTGAAGACTGAGCATTTGCTTCATCTGCTGGAAAATGGACAGACAGACGAAGCATTCAAGGTCTAGGCCACTCAACCTCTTGTTAAAGGGACATTTAAATTCATTAATAGTAATATACATACAACATGTATAGTGTATATACATATATGACAGACAATATCCAGCAGTTTTGTTGTTCTCTTAATTACTGCTTTGAAAAATTTACATTTCTTTTCCCCATTGCGTATTTAAGTTACTTGAGAGCCTCTCAGATTTCGTGGTCGGCCTGGATGTTTGTGAGCGGGCTCTGGACCGTCGCCCCGGACTGGCTGCCTGTTACTTCCTGGCCGACTACCTCACCCTGCATTTTCAGAGGCAGGTGTCTCCAGCACGTCAACAGCATCCACGCCCTTCATCTGGGTTCTAAGGTTTGTGAATGTGAAAATATGCATTGTTTTAATTGGTTTGATAACAGAAGTCGTGGTTTTCTTTATGATGATTCAAAGTGCTGTAACATAAATGTAACAAACAATCATATAAACAGTTATAAGAAATTTTAGACTTTAGATAGATTATACTTCACCAGCAGTTCATTTCAATAGTAATCTGATTTAATTTGTTGAAAATTCAGTGGAATTTTTTTTTTTTTTTACATTAAGTAATACTGTATATGCAGTCATACTGTATTCTTTTTAAAGGACAGGAAGTTAGGTTTACAGTCATACTAAGTCATTGTCTTATTTGTTTCCCAAAATTGCTCTCTTTCATGTCATTTTCAGTAAAATTCCTTTCTTGCAACACAGTTGGGCAATTGGGTACAATTAGTCATTCCAACCAGATGTTAGATTACCAGGTTACCAAATCATGTTTCTTTGGTAACCTGGGATTTAAGGTGAGCTCAGGCGAACGTTCTTCCTTTAGCAAAGAAATGTGAAATCAGGCGCCTTGTGATAAATACGTTTCTGATAAAAAGTGATAATGTCGAGCTGAAACTTCAAAAGCAAACTTCTTCCACTGTTCAGCAGATGATAGGATGTTTGGTGGTTTACTGTTTGGTGTGTCACCGGTGCTGAATCCGGACTATTTTAGCTGTTTAGGTGTAAAATGTGTTGATTTTGCACAAACAAAAAAAAGACACCAGCTGAATTACTTAATCTCTTCAAGTTGTTTTAAGATCGGTTGATGTGATTGCTCCATCAGGTGTTGCTCACCCTGCCCCCAGCAGCCAGACAGGACTATTTCTTTCTGCTGTCGGAGCCTCTGCTGATGCTGGAACAGCTGTTGATGAACCTAAAGGTGGACTGGGCCGAATTGGCAGTGCGAACCCTGCGGAGCCTGCTGGTTGGTCTGGAGGCTGGTTTTGGTGCTGAGGACATTGATAATATTCTGGCAGAATACGCCAGCAAGGCCCTCGACTTCTCGTGCGCCCCCAGAGAGATGGCTCGATCTGGTCAGTGCAGAGTGCACAGCACACAGTGGCCATCGTTGACATATGTAGACAGAGGTGTACACAAACTGGATAGGGCAGGGTATCGGACCTGAATATTTATTGACCAAAGCTTGTTCATAATTTTAAGTAGTGAAAGCTGACATCGAATGCTTGGTGAGATTCTTAGTCTTGGTCATTTATTCTTTAGATATTTCATCATTTATGTAGAGACACTGATAGAGTGCTTTATTATTTCCCAATAGAAATTGAATTGTCAGAGCAACAAGGTCACACATAAGAATAAGAAAACAAGCAACATAAGGATGATAAAAGGGATAGATAAAAAATATTAAATAACACAAAGACTAGGAATATATGGTACTTTAAATCACAGTGTAGCTCATTTTAGGCAAAGTTTTATTTAGGTCAACTTCTGTTTTGTGTTGAGACATAATGTAACACTGGTACAGTTGAGTTTGGCCTATTTCGGTAACAAAAAAAAGTTTCATTTTGATTTTGTCTGTGGAAAAAGTTAAAACTGTTGTAAAAAGACCTTATCAGTACGAATACTCAGATGGCAAAAGCATCAAAACATTTCTAAACAATACATGTCATTGATACTTAGGCACAAATGATAAGACTTTTTTTGCTCTCAGGGAAAGTTTTTGTCCTGAAACAAAGAATAAAAATGTGCTTAGTTACCATGTTTGAACATTTTCAAGCTCACAGTTTTGCACAACCATCCACGAGTCAGTGACTTGTTGTGTATTCAACACTTCATTTCCAGATTCTGTAATCAGCTTCCAGGATGCATCGCTGTTCTGTCCTGCTCAGGACAACTCCTCTATATCTTCCAGTCGATTTGAATCTCCAACAACCTCTACAAGTGAGGCATTTTCACATTTTAAATTATTTTTTTGGGCGTCTGTTTTTGTCTTTATTTATTAAGAACATCGGCACCCCGCAGGGATGTGTCCTCAGTCCCATCCTGTACACCCTGTTCACCCATGACTGTGTCGCTTCCCACAAAGACAACATCATCCTGAAGTTTGCGTTATTTGCAAGGGGAGAGAGGGCACAGCATGCAGCAAAGGTCCCCAACTAGAACAGGACATTCTGTTTAGGTGGCACATGCTGTAACCATTCACTCCCATTTGCACATGTTTAGTAGTTTAGCTTAGTAATATAATATCCATTTAACCTCAATAAGAGATTTCTTTATATGTAGCCTCGAACCTTTAGTTAGAAAGATGGCTAACACCGCTGTTTGTTTTTGTTCTCCCTCCATTTTGCAGTAAAATGGATATTTATAGATGAGTAAACTCAAAGTTTTGAGAAATTCATATGAAGGTCTGTTTTGACTTTTATGCACATGGCGTGAAATCAGTGTTAGGTGTATGAGTGTTGATTAAAGTTTCTGGTTCCACAGGCAGCACCCCCTCACACACCCCATCCTCAAATAGCACAGACAGGGAGAGGGGTCGAAGCTCAGCAGGGAGAAAACACCGCTTGTCTGCCAAGTTCAAGCCTCCAGACCAGCCCCCGGCCCGTAAAGACTGGGTCCCTGACACCCAACACCACGTGTGCATGGTCTGCCGGCGTGAGAAGTTCACCATGGTGAGTGGGCCAAGTAATGTGAGACTCGCATAAATTAAAAAAAGAAGCACTTGCTGACATAAAAAATAACTTGTGCTCTTCAGTAGAACAAATATTTTTCTTCAGTTTTGAAAATAAGAACATACATAGTTGAAAAAGAATAGGCTTTAATTTTACAACTTCTTACATTTACTGTACTTTCATACTCAGGGCTGGTTTGAACATTTTTGAAAAAGTAAATGAACTTTCTGTTTTGTTATTAGAAATTTGAGGAAGTGAAATTTCACAGAAAATTAATGACGTTTATATGTGTACCGTTCTTCTATTTATATATTTACAGAGCGATGTGGTATTGAGGTGACTGACTCCCTTGAACATACTGAGCACCAAAACCTTTTAATCAGATTAAGACAAGTATGTCAAGTAAATGTGCAGAATTATGAAATGGAAATGGTGCAACTATGGCAAACTGTGCTACTAGAGCCAAAAGAGGAGGGGAGATGAAGATGAGTCGTGACTAAAATGAGAATAAACTCTAATGTTTAGGTGCCCTGAGAGCTGAGTGGATTTGGACGCTCGCCATGTAGACGTTCACAGTGCTTGCATGGCCTTCGTCTAGCTGCTGACATTTGTTGTCTCTGCCTCACTCATTGCCCCATTTCTCAGTGACAAATAAATGCAAAAAAAAAGACTATGCTTTTTAAGTTTCCTCTGTAAATACTGTTTTTGTTGTTTGTATACTTTTAGTTCAACAGACGGCATCATTGTCGAGCGTGTGGCCGCCTGGTGTGTCACGCTTGTTCTGAGCATAAGATGCATGTAGAGGGATGCCCAGGGGATGAAGTCAGAGTCTGTGACGACTGTTACGCCTTCTTTCAACCAGAGTAAGAACCTGTGGATTTAATAAGACTTGTCAAACCAATCTTAGTCTGTTATAAAGCCTAAAGCACAGATGTTTACAGTATTCTTAACAAGCAAGGCGTTTCCTGTAGTAGTTTACCTGTAGTCTTCAGTATTACAGTATTTGGAGTGGTACCATATAGAAAGGGCACACACTGGGTTTAAACACTCATCTGCCATCGCAGATGAGTGTCGTGTCTTCAACACCAAGCATGACACATGCACTGAATGAGGCAAGTGATTTGTCACACAAGTTAAAAGTTTTCGAGGAATTGGAGCTGAACACATTTGGAAATACTGAAACTCATCATCATGAACCGGACGAAGATTTTGACCCAGAAATAAACTTTTTTGAGAACTCTGAAAATAACTGCACGTATTACACGGATGAGCAGTTTAACAGCAATGTTAAGGCTGAAAACAATTTATCATTAATTCATTTTAATAGCAGAAGTTTATATGCAAACTTTCAGAGTATAAAACATTATCTTAGTAGTCTTACACACACTTTTAATATAATTGCTTTTTCAGAAACATGGTTTAATAATGTAAGAGGAATCGACCTTGAATTGGATGGTTATGACTTGGTCTGCACAAACAGAGAGAATAAGACGGGAGGTGGAGTGGCCTTGTACATAGATAAAAACTTTTGTTACAAAAAACTGGAAAATATGTCAAGGGCGACTGATAACTTGCTGGAGTGTGTGACTGTTGAATTACTACTAGAAAAAAAGAAAAATGTGATAATAAGCTGTATCTATGTATCTACAGAGCACCTGGTGCCAGTATAGACCAGTTTAATGAGTGGATGGAAGAAAATTACCTGACAATAAGTCATAAATTAATGTTCATATGTGGTGACTTCAATATAGATTTGTTAAATCCTAACAAGCACACAGGAACTGAGGAGTTTATTAACACAATATATAGATGCAGTTTATACCCAAAAGTTCCTTCATCAACAGAAGTAACAAAAAAGTCAGGGAGTGGATAAAGAAAGCAATAGATAATATATTTACCAATGTTTTAGATAGTAAAATGACAAGTGGATTACTCATAAATGATATTAGTGATCATCTACCAGTATTTATGGTTTATGAGGGCCTCTATGGAAAAGAGAGGCCAAAAACAAATCTTTTCTATAGGAGGGTGATGAATGAACATGCTGTAAGGAGGCTAAAAGAGGATTTTATGGGGCAAAACTGGGAAGCAGTTTATAGAGAGGATGACTTAGATAAAGC